TATATTAAAAGAGCAAATAAATAAAAAAAGAAAATCATGGTAAACACAATAAATGAATTTAAAGCAATTAGCAGATAAAGAAGAAAATCTTAAACTAGAAATCTGACATGTCACTGGTCAGTCTATTGATGAAAATGGTGAAGCTAGCATGTATGCTCCAAGTGGAACATGATGATACAAGAAATTAAATAAGAAATGATTAGATGAAGGAAAGTTAGGAAATGGCAGTAGAAACTAGAGAATGAGCTAAGAATTGTAAAAGAATTTGATTTGATAACATCACCATTGAAGAGATGTTAGATGGCTTTATTGAATATTCAAATGATTTAGGAGGTAATTATGCTGGAAGCTTTTCAAGAATATGTAATTTAAATAGACAATTAAATCAGCAAAAGAGAGATTATGAAGAGAAGATAGCAGAGTTGGAAGCAAAAAGGAGGAATTGGAAGCAAGAGTAGAAGAGTTAGATGATGAAGTATGAATGGAATGAGAAGAGGCTGAAAAAGCACTAAATAAAGCCATGGAATGGAGAAAATGGCAAATGTTTGAAACTTTGTTGAAGCATGATGCTGCAATTGGTAAACTCCAATACCAAATAGATTTATTAGAAAATAATTTGACTGCTAAAAATCAGGAAATAAACTGAAAAGATTATTTAGCACCAAAGAATTACCATCTTTACCAAAGAAACAAAAGGAAAATAGATTATGCAAACTCAAAAAATTTGTAAATAAAGTAAAGAAAAAACTAAAGAGAAATTTCCAGACTTTTATTGTTCAAAAGAACAAGCCAATATGAGATTAGAATATAGAATTCTGGAAATAGCCCAAGGAAATGAACAAGAGTGTAACTTTTGTTTTCTAGATTTTGATGACCCAACTCTCCTTAATTTTGATACTGCTCTTGCTACTCATCAAATGGCTCATAATACTCCTGATGGTTACTCTGATATAGTTTTTATTTGCAGTGAATGTAAAAAAGATTACAATAATCTACTCAAAAGATTTAAAGAACATCTGTCTAAGGCCAAATTAGAGAGAAACTATTATAAATAAAAATACCAAATTAGCAGAAGAACAAAGAAAATTAGTTACTCAAAATTATTCAAAGGGTAAAACACAATATTGCAGTATTGATGCCACTGCACATTATAGTTATGATTGAGCCCAAAATGTTCATATACCGCATTTAGATCAACAAGTAAGTAAAATCTATTACCTTAGTTCATGTAAAGTTCATTTATTTGGTATTCAAGATGAAGCAGTAAGGGAACAAATTAATTATGTTCTTAATGAAAATGAAACTATAGGAAAAGGACCTAATGGAACTCTTAGTTTGACCTTTGATGGAATTAAGAAATTGAATAAAGGTGAAAAACATTTAAAGATTACTTGTGATAATGCTGGTGGACAGAATAAAAATAATACTACTTTTTGATTTTATTTATATTTGGTAATTTGTGGTTATTATGAAAGAGTTGAATTAAACTTCATGATTCCTAGACATACTAAATTCAAATGTGATGGTAATTTTGGCATGATTAAAAAACTTTATAGAAAAACAAGAGTAGATTGTGTGGATCATGTGGTTTCAATGGTAAAAAAGTCTAGTCCAAGCTGGATTAAATAAAGCTCAGTGTTATCATCAGGGAATTTTTCTGACATGGATTTATGTAATTATTACACTATTTACGTAAGTTTACGGCGGGTCTGTAATATTATGCAAATAAGCATACAAAAATTATGCAATTATTACATTGAGTGTAAATATTACATAATTTTTATGCAAATA